CAAATAGTTCGTGTGTCAGATCCTGATGCTGCTGCTGCTGCTGCTGCCGCCGCTGCTACTACTACTACTGCCGCTGCTGCTGCTGCTGCTGCTACTACTACTACTAATGCTGCTGCTGCTGCTGCTGCCGCCGCTGCTACTACTACTACTGCCGCTGCTGCTGCTGCTGCTGCTACTACTACTACTAATGCTGCTGCTGCTGCTGCTGCTGCTGCTGCTGCTACTGCTGCTGCTACCGCTGCTGCTGCTGCTGCTGCTGCTACTACTGCTGCTGCTGCCACTACTTCTGCTTCACTGAAACTGGTTTTCCTACCCTCTCTTTGTCCGCAGCCGAGCAAAATTTAATGGGTAGAAATTCGGCTTAGGGTTGATCGTAGGGTAAGGGGTATGGTGAGGATTTGTGCTTGGTATTATTGTAATGGGTATGGTTAGGATTAGTGGTAGGGTTATGGGCAATAGGTATGGGTAGGATTATTGGTAGGATAAGGGATAAGGTTAAGATTAGTGGTTGCCAAAGGTTTAAGATTAGGATTCCTTATTAACTCCTTATAATGTTAAGAGCTAATAATAAGAGGTATTATTACTAATATTAGCTCTTGATAATGTGTATATCAGTAGTAATAGTAAGGTATCATTAGCTGTTTACGTATGTTGTTGTTGATGCTCTCACGCGTGTTTAACATCATGAATGCCTTCTCTCGGCAGGGAGTCAATAACGCGAGTGTGCGAGGCCGCGCGCCTGAAGACTCCAGACAAGAAGCGAAAGGTACGTGTGCACTGTGCGTGAAATAACTCACAGGCGACGCGTCCTGTAGTCCGACGTTGCCACCAGTTGCTGAGGAGGGCTCAGCACGCCGTCATTGGGTCCACCTCTTGTCATCAGGGGTTAGTGGGGGTCAGCCTCTGTCAGCAGTAGGGGTGTAACAATACATTTTGTTTCGGTTCGGTTCGGTTTTCAGTTTTTGCTCTTTGGTTTGGTTCATTCGGTTCGGTTATTTTCAGTAGTAAAAAATAAAAAATGCTGAGAAGATGGGGAAATTTTCCCTCAATTTTGAATAATAATAATAATACCTATCATAATATTATACATTTATTGTGTTATTCATTGGCCAAAAGACAATAAAGTAATAGCTCGCCGTGTGCGCCCCCCTAACTGAGAGTGGGTTGAATGTATTTCCTCGGAACTGAACCGAGAATCGAAACGGGGAAAAAAAACGAAAACCGAACCGAATGGGGTGTAGTGCGATACAGTTGAATCGCAGTTAATCGTTACACCCCTAGTCAACAGAGAGTCAGTAGGAGCTTTACAGCATGGGGGTCAACTTGAGCAACTCGGGGGGGGGGGGTCGGCTGTAATCAGTCGGGTCAGGGGGGGGGGGGCCCGCGACTCTCCGACGTCGCCCAACCGCGTCGCTCTGTTGTTTTCGCCGCAGACGGACAAGCGCATATGCAAGATGCTGGGCGATCGGCCGAACATGCAGCACGCCGGCTCGAACATCAACTTCACCGTGAGCACGGACAACCTGAGCCTCGTCATCATGGAGTCTGGCGAGGTGAGGCGATGCCCGCTAACTCCTGCGATTTTATTACTTGCCGCCGCCGTCTTCGCGATCGGTCAATTAGCGACGGGGGTGCGAGTGATTTTGGAAAATAATCATCATTCCTATGCTACACCTTGTTCATTGTTGTGCTAACTGATGTTTTCAAGTCATTACAATTTTCTTGCCACCTGTTGTGTTGCTGACGTTCAATGCAATATGTTGTGTGTGATGAGCAGCTAGTTAGCTTCATATCGTTGGACACCTGCAGTTAGTTGGTGTTTACTGACTTCGACGTGATTGTGTAAATGCGCAGGATCGGTATGAAATTAGCCAGAGAATGTGTAGAGTATTGTAATAACTACATTGCAATATGAATCAGCATCGATTCAAGTGTTTGTGTGTAAAGGTTTCAAGTACTTCCCCCAGCAGAGAGAAGAAGTGTCAATGTTCCATCCCGTGCAAATTTCCCACAGACGTTTGTTAATATTAATGTTGTGTTTGTCACCATTTCAGATCATTGCTACGCACCAGATGCAGGGCATATCATTTGCCTCGGGAGGAGATCCGGTATGTTCACTTGTTTTTTCACCCGCTAGCTCATGCCGCTTGCTAGGATGTGTCACAGTGTTGCATTAATTTTGAAGTGAATAAACGTGGACCGGATAGCATTAATCGCTTATTTGGGAATTATTTGTTTAAGGAATTGAAGTAATCGTGCTGTTATATTGTATATTCAAATCTAGACTAGAGAAGTCTCCCTATGTCTGTCATCGTACTTCTGTACATTGACTTCGCGTGAGCAGAGACTTCAAAAAATGTCATATGAGATTAGTAGACAGCACAGTTATCTGTTGGCTGCATCTGTCTGAACTCATGTATCAATGAGTGCGTACTGACGGGGGCATTTAATGAGATTCCTATGTGGATTCTGCTGATCTGAAGGCACATGTTATTGGTGTAAAGCCGTATTATGATTAGCATTAAACTGTCACAGCATTGATGTCCCTCGTCACCCTAGCGGTTGCGCAGCCTGCTCCTTTCCTGCCACTGCACCTCAGCGCCCTCTATCTTGTCGTGGTCGCACACGTGTGTGATTGCCGTCGCGTTCCTGCCCTCGCGCCTCAGCGCCCCCTATCTCTCATCGGCGTGCCGTTGCAGGAGACACTGGACTTTGTCGCGTACGTGGCGAAGGATGCGACGGGGCGTGCGTGTTACGTGCTGGAGTGCGGCGGCGGGCTCGCCCAGGACGTCATCACCACCATCGGTCAGGCGTTCGAACTGCGCTTCAAGGAGTATCTGAAGAAAGCGCCGAAACCAGCATCCCTCGTCAGCAGGTAGTACTGCTACTGTAGTAGCATCCATACCTGTGTTAGCGTAGCGGCTCCCTCTGTCTATAAAGGACACGTGGCAGTTTCTGTGAGTGGCAGTTGCGGTAAACCTTATACATAAGGACAACCACATGCATTGTATATACCAGGCGTTCGTTCTGTGAAGCTGATTGTAATGTTACTTAAACTGACACTTAAGGGAAATGCTAAAAGTGTCTTTTATATAGAGGTGTCCATTCTGTGAGGGTGTCCACTGGCACAGGCTTGACTATATACAGTGAAATAACCTCTATCAAACAATCACGTGTCTATAAAGTGGCGTTGTCTATAAATTGGCACTGTAGGCTTGCATCTTGAATGAACCTTATATAAAAGGTTGACTATATATGCTTGAAAAAATTGACTATATTGAGGTGAAGAATTCAGTGGCTGTCTGCAGGGGTGAGAAGAAGCTGGCACTTAATAATTTTCAGCTGCTTATGCCATAGCTTCTGCTGGTCACGTGTGCTGACGCACGCTCGTCTTTGTGTGCGCAGGGCTGAGGAACTCTTGCCAGAGCGACCGGCAGCATGGGGCGACGACCCGGAGTATTACAACGACCTGCCTGGCAAGCAGCCACCTCCTCTGCCCCCACTGCCGCGCAGTCTTAGCCAGGTTGGTTGAAGAGGAAGTGAGAGAGAAAAAGAGGGAGAGAGATAGGGCAATCAAGAGAGAGAGAGAGAGAGAGAGAGAGAGAGAGAGAGAGAGAGAGACAGAGAAAGAAGGACCGCTCTGTCATCTAGTGTCTGTGCCTGTGCAGTAATCATGCGTCTGTTTTTTGTTTGGCAGCCGACTCGACATGATGACGACGCAGCGGCGTGCAATCACCTCTTCACGACACAGGTCTCCGAGGCAGCTATCCCACCATCGAGACATGGCGCAGCCGACGCCTTCTCTGGCGCACCCTACACTCGCAGAGGTGAGTCTCCACTTGAGCACGAAATAGGCGAATAAAGCGTGGTTATAAAAGGTCGTCAGCATTTCTGTACAGTCGCGCCTGTCTGGGGAATGATTGGCAGCGCAGCCGAGTGCATTTCACTGAATTCACTGCTTAGTGGTGCCATCTAGTGGTGCGATTTCACAACTCTGGTATTAACGCACATTTCTCTAAGACCGATAGATAGTTCACTATGAAGAGGGATTTTGATATTTACATTTTGACGCTGTTGCAGTGTAAAACCACCTTGTATATGAGACACCTGTTCACAAAGAAGGCTTGTTATTTCTCTTGAGTGGCCGTTATGTGCAGGTCTGACTACACATCGTCACATGTTAGCGTAACTTATTCTTTCATTAGGAATATTAAATATCACTGACGCTGTAATGATTGTTTTGTTCTGCAGCGTGTGACAAGCAGCCGGTGTTGCCACCAGAGGGCGTGCCACCTCAGCCTCCGTCGCGTGACGATTCCAACGGATGCATACCACTGGAGCAGGAGCATTGGTTTCACAGCACGCTGACTCGCAGAGAGGTGAGAGAGCCGTGAGAGCGCGCGCACGCAGCATCCGGGAAGCCCAGAATCACAAGTGCTGGCCTGCATCACCGCTCACCGTGCGTTACAGGGGGCGGTATCATAACAGTAAAATGATCCAATTAACAGTAAAACATTAAGATGGTCTTTACACGAGTTTTATTTCATAGACTGGACCTCTATACATTTCATATGAGAAGCCCGTAACTTTTCCTTGTATCTGTCGATGGTCTATGAGAATATGTTAAGACTAGTGTTGAGACTGATTTTGTCATACAACGAGCCCGTGTTTATGATGTGCTATGGTGGACCTTCTTAATGAAAACAACCTGTTAGACTTAAAGTGATTACGTCACCGTAAATAGTAAAAGTTAAAAAAAATTATTTCCACTTTTTCACAAAATGTAAGTGATTCTGTTCACATTTTATTGTTAAATTGCTGCCTTATACTTCCTATTTTGCTATTACATTCGATGTTAACAAACACAGGGTCTCCAACCATTCCTCATTCTGTGGAATCATTACGATTTCTAGGCTTAATTTCCGCATTCTGCAGCGGCAAGGTTATATTCCTCATTTCAGTTGCACTGTACAAAATTTGCACTGATTGTTTGCATTGTTTGCTTGGACACATTGTTTTTTTTCAGGCATTTTGTATCTGGCATGTCTATGGTAAATGGAACAGCCTAGTCAGACAGGCGCTGTCTGCAAGGTGTCGCGTAGTTTGTTTGCTAATCAGACAAGGGTTGTAGGGTTGAGTCTAGGGTTGAGATAGTGTTATCAGACATGAGAATATGGCCCACAGTATGCCTCAGATTGCAGGAAAATGGCTTAAATATTTCAAAATTTTCTGGGGGGCATGCCCCCAGACCCCCTACCACTGGCATGCCTACGGCAAGCGGGCCTGCTGGCGGCAGCCAAGGTATATTTCGCCCCCCCCCCAGTCCATCAATATCTGAATACGCCACTAGTTACTGATCACTTCGGGAACATTCCGCATTTGGAGTTCACAGGGTTGGAAACCCTGCAAACACTCGTGACTTGACACTTTGACATAGCCCACCATAGCAAGCATTTAATGTCATGATAAATATATCAAATCACCCAGATTTTTTGGATTTTTAACTAGTTGAAAAACAATCTTATCAGGTAAGAATTTACTTAGGTCTGCTGTGTCTGCAAATTGCGTCGAACCATGCTTGATTGCGCTATGCACACGAAGCGTTATTTCTTTTACCAGTGTCAAATTTACAGACACCAAGTCATAAAAAAATTCTCAAGCTTTCGACAATTTCTTATTAGATAGACACTTATTTACTCGACGCGACAGTATTATCAGTTCTTAGCATTTTATCTCGGCAAGGAGAAACAAATCTGTTACGTGTTTGTGTTTCAGGCGGAGCAGCTTGTGAAGCGGGATGGAGACTTCCTGGTGCGGGAAAGCTCCCAGAGTCCCGGCCAGTACGTGCTCACAGGCATGCAGGGATCACACGTGAAGCATCTGTTGCTCGTTGACCCTGAAGGGGTGGTGAGTGTGCCTGCATGCCAGGCATGTCTAGTATGTGTCTGTATGGCACACACACAGCAGAGTGGCAGGGTGTGTGTGTGTGTGTGTGTGTGTGTGTGTGTGTGTATGCGGTCTGTGTATGAAGCATAGTGTGTGTGTGCGTGCGTGTGTGTGTCATGGGTGTATGCAGGGGGGGGTCGTGAGGGTCGTACGACCCCCCCAAAATTTTAAAAGGTCCACATTTTTTCCAAAGACATTTTTTTCGAGGGCCTTTTTACAATGATATAATACAGGACCCCCCCTGCTCGCGCAGAAAACGCATCTTAGGAGGTCTAATTTCAAAAA